TACACAGCGGCTTTTTCGCATTTATTTTAATATTACTCGACGAGGAGCTGTTCCGTCTCGCAACACCATCATAAGATGGCTCAATAATTTAAGAACAACTGGCAGTATAATGAAGAAAAAGTCACAAAGTCCACAACGTACCGTGAGAACCCCTGAAAACGTACAGCGAGTTAGAGAGTCGTTCTTCAGAAGTCCTTCCGGTCCGCCCGAAACATGCAATGGAGTTGAACATTAATCGGGAATCGGTTAGGAGAATCTTGCACAAGGATTTAAAATTCCAACAAACTACAGATTGTTCAGCAATTGAAAGAAAGAGATTTTGAAACACGTGAGGATTTTGCTCCGAGAATGCAAGTGATTTTGGAAGATAATTTAGGTCTGCAGCTTCTAATGAGCGACGAAGCTCATTTTCAATCAGATGGATCAGTTAATAAACAGAATTTCAGGTACTGGGCTCCTGGAAATCCACGAAATATCCACGAACGACCTCTTTATTCCTAAAAAGTCACAGTGTGGTGTGCCATCGGTTCTAATTACATTATTGGTCCCTATTTTTTCGAAGAGGTCGGGCGTACCGTCACCGTTAAATCTAACCGCTACGTTCAAATGCTCCAAAAATTTTGTATGCCAGAACTACGCAGATAAATCCAAGGAATGGTTTCAACAAGATTGCGCCACGGCACATACTGCCAACGCATCAGTGAATGTTGTCCGCAACATGTTCCCAGAAAAACTCGTTTCACGTTTTGGAGATGTGCCGTGGCCCCCAAGGTCTCCAGATCTGTCAATTTGTGATTTTTTCTGTGGGGGTATTTGAAGAATCGAGTGTATGCTCACAGGCTCTGTAATTTGGATGACTTGAAGAATGCCATTCATCAGGAAATCATGATTATTGATCGAGTGATGTTGGAGCGTGTTATGGACGATTTCAGGAAGAGGGTCGAAAACTGCATCCAACGCGACGGACACCATCTAGATGATAATATTTTCCATAATTGATACACATCGTAAATGGCATTGTATAAGCTTCATTCTGGTGTAAATAAAATCTTATTATCTTGCAAATTCTTTGTGTTACACTCATTTCAAAATCGTCCGGTTCTCGTGTGTCACCCTGTATTATAATTTTACAGTTATATAAAAATGACCAGTGTATTAGAAAATATTGAAAGCACAAGTACGCGTAAACGACCTATTAGACATAAAGCGTTATCTTTAGAAGCACAAAATATTGTACTTAATGTATTTAATAATCTTCTAAAAGACTTTGTTTTACTTTCTGTGGATAAAGGTGAGACATATGGTTAGATTGAAAATGAGTGGGATGATTCTCATCGCCTTCCACTGTGACCCAGATGGATCTATTGTGGCTCCTGTGAGAGACCTATAATGGAGTATCTAAGCGGACAGTGTATAACATTAATAAAGAAGATATAGTTATTGGAGAAGTCTCACATACGGAAAAGCCCCCAGGAAGAAACTAGACCTTTATTGAAATTGGGTAAATAATATAATAAACAAGGACCGGAAAATGCATATACATATACATAGTATATTAAAAAATATACTATTTATTGAAATTGTTAAAAGCATTGACGACACAAGTTTTTGATGCAATTTCTTGTACAATTTAAATTATATATTATCAAACCTGCAGTAAATTGTCTGAAAAATTAGATTGGATAATCATTTTTCAAACAATTTACTATGTGATCCTATACAATTTACAAGAAACTGTAGAGTGAAAACAGTCTTAAGACGGGTGCCCTACTCCACTGGTTAAAATGAAAACAACATATCTTGCAACCCTAATATTTTGTATAGATTAATATTGATTTTTAATAAAAAAATTAGCTTATATTAAAACTTTAAAGAATAATTTGATTACAAATATAATTTTATTTATATAATATAAAACTATAGTTATAGGATACATCAAATTTTATTTTTCCAAAGTAATTTCTCCAAATAATTTTTACAGACTGATAAAATCGACAAAGACGCAATAAACGAGAATCTGGTGGGAACAATGATTTGCCATATAAAAATGTAAACAATTTGGTCTCTTATGGTGCGTTTGATTTGATCATCGGAGATCTCCGAGCGCTTCAAAAGTATTTGAATTGACACTCCGAGAGATCCCTAAAGTGTTTGTTTCGCTTTAGAGCGAGAACATAGAGCGAGCTCGATGTTCTCAGAGCAGAAAGATCGAGAAGAGGGAGAAATTTGTCTTTGTCTCTACCTATCTCTTTTTAATTAACTTACAAACAAATTTGAATCTCAAAATTAAAGACCAGACAAGAAGTCAACATATTACTTAGCCGCTTTTGTCTTATAGCTAAAATTATTCATCATAAAAAAACACAAAATGTGTGTTTGGAAAATACATTTTTTCTGTCCAGATCTAATCACCAGTAATCACAGTCGCATGGAGTATGAGAGCGAAGCGGGCATTTGTGGTAAATGCTGCATTTCAGGGCCATTACCTCTTATTATTAAAAGTTTTTCCATTTTCTTTACTTTTTGCTCACTAATTTAACATACAAACCAGAAACAAGAATCACAAAAAAGCGAGGTTATGTTTTTAACTCTATTTTATTTGATTTGATTCAATGCTCTATTGTGACGTCATCACTTCTCGGTCTCCTCGACGCTCGCTCGATCGAGTTTCAAATCAAACGCCCCTTTAGTTGTAATGTCTTTAACACAGAAGAAAGAACAATACAGAAAAGAAAGTAATGGTCGGAACTTTGAAGTTGAAGGGATATAAATATTTGACCTTGAGTTCCACCACAGAGATACTCTGAGAAAACGTAACTATTCACAGTACACGCGAACGTAGCTATTCACTGAACCTACACTGCGAAAACTACATTTCTCTTTTACAGAATTATGTGTCATATTTTATGAAAATTTGCATGAATGAATTTTAAACTAGTCTTGATTTAAGTAAAATATTTTTTAATTTGTAGCACTTCCGACAGAGGTTTCAAACATGAAAATTATAAAGTTTTAAACAATAGTTTATTTTACCCTGTCATAATAAACTATTAATATTGTACCACAAATCTCACTAGTCATTTATGATCCATAAGTATAAATCAATTGGGATAATTGTTAAAAACTCATTAGATAAAGCGTATTTTAGGGATTTTATAAATAAAAACAAAAGAAAAATAAAAAAAGTGTATTTATGCAATTGATAAGTTTACAATCTATGCATGTATTTTATTAAAATAGAATTTTTGAATGGAATTATTTTAAGATTCTTTTTTATTACATATGCAATAAGGATAAACGTTTCCTTAACATTGCTATCTTCAGTCGCAGTCTCTGCTTTCTTGGAGTGTTTGATGATAATACACTACTCGTTTGAATTTGTGCTGTTGCATAAGGTAGAGGAACAGATGGTTGACTGTGAACTTGTTCAATAGATTCTACTTCTACTGAAGTTGAGGGTAGGCACAAGTTGTCTTTACCTTTTTCGCCACGAACAAATTTTTATCGGATCAACTAGCTTTAAGAAGGTGCATCATTTTTTAGAATTAAAGGTTTAAGTCAACTTTCTAGCCAGATGAAATTTAAAATAATTTCATAAAATGTGAATATATTTCTGTGTCTAGGAGGCAAACTGCACTATGTCATTCTAGTCAACTGTTTAGTACAGTAGATTGAATGTTGTTAAATTATTAAATTTCAACTAGATATGCATTTAGATATCCCATTTATTATCACAATATTTGTATTTTTTACTAACCTAACTGATAAAACTACTTTATTTTAAATTGCATAAGCTGTTGTATGTTGACATAGTGCAGTTTACTTCCGAGGTAGTTCTATAAAATAGAATGTATGGGTTAATATTCTAAGATTTTTAGTACTTATCATTTTATTTTTTAAACTACTAAATGTAATGTAAAAAAATAACAAGCGAGACAAGTAGCAAACTTTTTGTAACATTTAACTATAAATTTTATTTATTTACCTTGCGAAACTGTGACTCTTTTCATAGGTTCTGAGTGAGGAAGTACTGATGGGAATGCATTTGCAAATAATCGTTTTCTTGCTCCTGACTGATAAGCGAATTTATCCTGGAAGTGCAGTTCACAAATTTTGTAATGTTTACTTAAGTATTCAACACTCTTTTCCAATAATAATCCTATTTGCTGCCTTAAGCCACAATTCAAGTCTGAAAAATACATACAATCATTGTACTACAATGTTATGGCAAGGTCAATTCCTATTTCACACTCAATGTTTCATACATACCTCACTGGATCTTTCACAAGAATGAACAATCCTTCTTTGTCACCTGTTCTTGTACATCCACGATAAATACAAGTATACCCTCCTCCTCTTTGACGCGGCATTGTTTATAAACCTAATCTTAATACGTACAATAAAGTCTTAAATGAACACTCCAAAATTAAAAACAGCAATAAAAACTAAAAATAAACCACTAACAAACTAACCAAAAATCAAAAACGACAAATAAAGACGACAGGCAAAAACATATTGACAGCGACAGCAGTGACAGCTTTGTTCATCTGCTACAAAAGTGTGCTCTGTTGCACTTCGAACAAATAACAAATCTACGATTCACTTTTGACCATGCTCCACCATAAAGAAGGTGTGGCCTCGGTTGCTAGGTTCCTGTTTTAGTCCTATGTTTCTTTTCTGTATCGTTCTTTATCCTGTGTCTTTGACAAAAACGATCTTTTTAAAAATGAAAAGAAAACATCAAATGTATTGTCATTTATCACAAATACGCGCCAATCATAATGCGTCGTGTACCTAACACCGAAGGGGTTGCCCTCATCATTACATAACAAACCCATTTGAGTAACACCTCTATTCTTATATACTCTAATAATGTGACGTTATATCGCCACTTTTACTGCAGTCCTCTTTTATTCAGACAAGCTTACTGGTAAATTCGCCGCTGTCTGCATGTACGAAAAACAATGACCAAAATTATTAAACAGAGAAGAAAAAGAAGAGGAAAATTTAAGTCAACATGACAAAGTATTGAAAATAAAATTCTTCCAATATGATAAATTTTACAATATCGTTCCTTATATCTTTTCCTATTACTCCAAAAGCGTTGAGTATAATAGACGAAAAACGAACTACATCAAAAATATCGTCGGTAGATAGAAAAACAAAACCAAAATCAGAAAGAGAAGACGGATCACCTACATTTATAGAACTAAATACTTCAAATATTGCGAATGCAGTTCATATTACCTACGAACTTCTACAAAACAGATGCAAATATGAAATAGATGTGCTCTGTTGGGGACCTATCGTCAAAATCCTATCCAAAGACGGACAAGCCAATATGTACACAATCATAAAAAATAAGGTAATTTGGGTACCAGTTGTTGTAGAACATAGGATAGAAAGCTTAACGATACCAGAGATAAAGGCTTTTCGGGAAAGAATTATAGAGTTTACTGTTTCTAACAACGTTACTAAAGTTAATTCGGTTTTGAAAAACGAAAAGGTTGTAGTACACCAAGACAGTATAATACAAGATGATGAGTTTATAGAAAATACAAAATTTTCCTTATTCTGTGATAAATATGGTGTATCTGATACCAAAAGTATGATTTTAAAGACAGGCAAGATGTCCACGAAAAGCATGATAACAAGACGTGCATCTATTCAGAAGACCGAATATAGCTGGTTACACCTTGATAACGACTTTGATACTTTTTATGAAATAATAGAAAAAATTTCTAATGACAAAATGGTAATAACAAATGAATGTATACCGCCTTGCGAATCTAGACGAAAAGACGATATTATACCCAGAACATCAAGATCCAAAGTTAGTTTACCTAAAAATATGTATCGATTATCCAAAGATCAGATAGATAAGAAGGAACGAAATGGCGATAAGATGAATTCTTTCAGTGTATTGATACCAGCGGAAATTTTTTTTACAAAACCGACTCATTCGGTGTTTCATAAAGAGTGCAATAGCGTGGAATTCATAAAAAACTTTTTCGTTTTTCCATCGGTCAGTCAACTCATGTTAAGAGGCCAAAAACTTTCATTGAACCCTTTAGTTATTAATATTACGAAAATTAATAATTTTCCAGCCGAAGAGCTCATCGAAAAAGGTTTCAAATCAGTTTTCGCTTATTACAATATTCCAGAAGTACTCGATTGCAAGACTCAAACAAAACTTATAGAGAAAACGATACTCTTTAACAATTCGCACATGTATTTTACAGACGAAGTACAAAAAATTAAAGTTATAGAAGCGCTTCAAACTCAAAAATTCTTTGTTGAGCTATATGGTAACAAAGAATTGAAAGAGGCTACGCCAATATGTAATTTTTTCGGTAGAAATCCTGAAGATTTCAATATCAGTAAAATTAAACCTACTTTTGAAAATACTTGTCCAGAAGAGGATGATAAACCTGTGCTGCTAGCTGTGAGCTTATTCGATTTAAGCTCCTTAGTTGAAAATATTTGGACATTTCGAGAAAAGGGACAGTGTCACCAACCGTTTCTGACTTTGACCAGTAAACCCGAATATGATAAAGCTAAAACGCAATATACAGTTAACGAAATTAATCTCGAATATAAAAAACCTAAAGTGATAATTCCTGAATGCACGTATATAGAACTTGGTACGACATTAACCTTGGAAGCATTTTTAATGGCGCCTCAAGCCCCTTCATTGGATTATCACTATGCTCCTAATACTTTTAAAAGGATATTTCTCATAGCGGATGAAGAGAATTTCGCTAAAATACTTTACAATAGCGTAGAGACTAATAATAACGCTATTCTGGAAACACCCGAAAATAGTATAAAGAATAGTCAAGATTTAGAATACCACGATATTCTTACTGGTTTTATTCTTGATAATGGTTCAAGCCACTTTTTTTACATGGAAGGACCATCTTCTGGATTCATTTTGAATATATGGCATATTATACAAGGCGCTTGTCCCGTACCAGAAGAAAGTCTATTTTCTATAAACGACGACGAGAAACTCGTAATCAAGAACGGAAAAATTTTCTTCAATACCGATAACACGTTCGAGAAACGACTCTATAAAAACTTTACCAAGTTCGGAATGTACAAAATAGTATTGAAAATTCCCCTTCAAGATATTTTAGCCAAACCTCTGTTATATGTGAGAAAAAACGTCCCTAAGCCTTGCATGGAGGCGCTAAATAAGCTCTGTCTGTTGTTTCATTCTACCAATTACAAAGATATTTTACAACAAAACTTGCTGCCCACGGCCCAAGAATTGAGTAGCTTGAACATAGAATGGGGGGTGCCTGATAGGTGGAAGGGAAAATAGTTTTTTTATGGCAAATAATTTTATTATTATTAATAAAAAAAAGGTAATCCTTATTATCAGAATGTAATCAACTTTTTTGTTAAGTAAAAGGAAAAATAACAAGAATTCAAATGAAGAAAAAGGTAAAAAGGTTGAAGGTATTGAACCAGTTCGTAAATTTTTAGTGACTATTTTACTGTATTACAGTTTTTATAGTGTCGTTAATTTAAAGACGATTTTCCAATAAACGGACAGTTGAGTTTGTGTTTTGTTTGTGTTTCGTGGAACAAAAACAAAACCGAGACAAACCCAAAATTCTTCTTTCTTTGTTTCCAGTCGTTTTCCACTGGATGTCGCCAGAAGGTCAGAACACATTTTTTTAATATTTTTTTACATTTATATAAACAAAAAGGGTGTGTCATCCCTAATAAAAAGGTCTAAACTGCTTTTTTCAATGGTTTAATTCACGATCAAGTATTCTCAATTACAATGTTGCTGTGATATTGAAACTGTCTATTAGCGTACTACCCGTACTACCACATTTAAAAAAGTAAATTTTAATCAAATTGTATGAAACTAATTTATTTACGAGTATTAAAATTAAAAACCTAAAAGTGGCGGTGGAGCTGAGGACAGAGCATTTGCCTTCCATGCGAATAGCCTGGGTTCGAATCTGGACTATATAGGGGCAAATTTTTTTTTATGTTTTTTATTTTATAAATTAATAAAATTTATAAATTATTTTAAAAGGGCTTATTTTGTCTAAACCTAAAATAATTTTTTAAATTTGTAGATTTTCGTTAGTAGTTCGTAGAAAAAATATACTGCACAACTCGAGTGGATTGTCCATATCTACTCTTGTTGCGAAAATTAGGGAAATTTTTGTGATGAAAATTATTGTGATGAAAATTATTCAGTTTTTTCACTTATATATGATATTTTATTCATTTTCATAGATTCGCCAGAATGTTTTTACTTAACTTCAGTATACTTCTAGAACTATTATATTTTATATGACTAGGGTTAGGGCTTTAGCCCCCCCAGATCCGATGACATAACTTCGCCCATGATGTTGCTGTGATATTGAAACTGTCTATTAGCGTACTACCCGTACTACCAGTGTTGCCAGATTCTTGATTCTTTATACCAATTTTCTTCAATTTAACCTCAAAAATTCTTCATATTTCTGCAGAGATGTAAAACGTCATTTCGTCATTAGTAAGGTACATACATGTAAAAAAAAATACGGGGGGGGGGGTTAAAAGGTACCCAACGACCCAACTTTTTTTAAGGGGGTCGCTTTAAATTTTTTTTCTCCTTAGAATATTGTGCCTTCAAATCTACAGCACTGGCAAAAATTTCGAAGCAAAAATCGCAACAGCAAACTTTTTACAAAAAAAAAAAAAACGTTTTTCTGAATGTTAGTTTAACACCCTGTAACTTTGTTGGGAGCCACTTTTTGATATAGGTAAATATAGCCAAATCCACTTATTTTTTGGTAATCTATCTGAGGATGAATTTATGACATACCTTTTTGAAACACCCTGTATATCGGTGATGTAATTCGAGTCGTAGTTATACCATTTTACCGAGAGATGTCAGAATGCATAGTAAATGAATAAAATAATTACATTTAAATCAATAATACAATGTTAAAATCGAGTTAAAGGATTAAATTGTTAAGTAATCTTAAAAATTTAATGATTTTAGAGAAAATCATGTAAATTTAAAAAATTTCTTCATATTTTAGTGGTTTTCGTAAAATATTCTTCTTTTCTTCAATAGCTCAAATTGTAGGCTAAAATTCTACATATTGAAGAAAATTCTGCACTTCTGGCATTACTGCGTACTACCAACTGCGCTGGTCTGACTTCTCCCGCTCGTCCATCTTGACACGCATGTGTATGGACTTCAAGAATGTATGGTGGGGAGCAGAGGAATACCGCTAACATTTATATATTTAATTTTTATGTTAGGTCCAAAATCAAAATACATATAAAAGTAGTTTAAAAGATGTATGTGATATCACAAATACCTAAAAATAGTTTGACCTATTCTGGCTCTGACACACAGATATATACTCTACTAATAAATATACTTATATAAATTTATCCAGCGTTTCAAAATAAATTACTTACCTATAAAAAAATACGTTTTTTACTTAGCTGTACCAATTTGGTACAACATCAAGACTACACAACACGACGGTTTCCAGTAAACAGACTCGAGTTTCAAAACACGTCGAAACCCTTTGATGTTACCGCTTCCGAGCGGGACACGAGAAACAAAACTTCAACTGTGGCAAAACACGCCAGTCTTGAAAAAGTTTTGCGAAGAGTTTGTGTTTTGTTTTTGTTTTGTCCGTTTAGTGGAAAACCACCATAATAGATGAGCTAAAAAACACCAAGGAAACATTTTTGAATTCATTCCAGAATATTTTAAGTAAATCAGAATGATCAGTGACCAGCTCCCCTGATACGTTAGTTAAAAATCATGAATTTTTGTTTGAAAAGTGATTGGTTGTCAATATCTTTGAACTCAAAAGTGTACACTCTTTAATGCATTGCAAAGGAAATGAACAGTCTAATTAAGTCCTCCTTAAAAAAGACAACAAAAAGCTACCCATTAGTTTTACAGTTTCGCATCACCCAGTATAAAAGAATTTTTCTACACTCCCTGATACGGGTTCAATACGCTAGTTCAGTGTAATGTCATTTTGGTTCCACTGACATTTAATTCTAACCAAACTTAAAAAAAAAAACATTAATAAATTTGACGTATTTGTTTTTACTGTTTTTAGTTTATTTCTAAATATTGTTTACAGGCCATAAAAAATAGTTTAAAGATATGTAATTGGTAACTAAACGATTGTATATTTGATGCATGTTATCTACTTACTTTAGGAATATATTTATAAAAGTAAAGAAACGATATAATTTAGGTAAACAAAACGAACAAAACGCACTCAAAAAATCTACTGTCACTTTCATTGTTAGTGGAACCATAATTACATCATAACTGAACTAGCTTATTGAATATAATACAGGGTGTACCAATGAAAAGTAGCCCGTTTCCAGAGCTTATAAAGGAGGAGATTTTTAAAAACACCCTGTATACTACCGTCCTAAGCAAGAAGGCAGTATCTCCAATTTTTGTCATTTTTGGTTTTCCTCTTTTATTACGCCTCTTATACTATTATAACGGTATCTCACAAAGCTAGAAAGCCGTAAGTGCTCATCTATTGATCTGGTAAACTAAAAAATAGCAGTAACTCAACTTGTTATTAAATATTCCTAAGTTAAAAGGCCGTAAGTATCTCCCACAGAAAATGGAGATACTGCTTTTTAATCTAGCAACGGCATGGCTTTATCACGACATTCCTCACTACATATCTTTTAGATTGAAAGTGAAGCGTGTTGGAGTTTGTCAGTTTACTGTGATCAGTCACTCTATGTTAATGTGTGTTATGTGTATCATCAAATTACAATACATTTTATTCCTCTAAAAAGTTTTAATAGGTATGTATTAAATTGAATCAATTATTAACAGTTTTATTGTCATATATTATTTGTTAACAGTTTGACAAAAGATATGTAAAACATGGGATCTCGTGGTAAAAAAAATTACAAATTGTGCAGTGAATGGAAATAATAAATCCAAGCTCTGATGATGGAGAGCGTGAGAATGAAGAAAAAGAAGTTAAAAAATACATAAACTTAGAACCAGTCAGACTGCAACCCACCGAATGTGACGTTTCAACAAATTTGAGTTTTTAAGCAGATTCTGATGATTCACTTAAGGACCCTAACTCTTTGGCGTCCGATTCAGAAGAAAGCGGTGAATTAGAATCGGAGGACATTTCCAGAGCCACTGATTTGACTTTGATCAATAAGAGCATTGCAACAGCTGCTTTAATCAGTGCCATATCTTCAAAAAGTACTGATGTGTCTCGTAGTGAAAATCCTGATAAAAATTATACTAAAAAGGGAGAACTGAGAAAGAGAAAGAGACATGATAAAACAGAACAAGAAAGAAAAGAAGATCAGGCTCAGAAGCAACAAGATAAACATTATGTTCGATCCGGGTGCGTTGTATGTCATAGGAAATGTAACACATTGTTCAATGAGAATCAACGCGCAACAATAAACACGCAGTATTGGTCATGAATTGGCAAGAGAGAAGGATTTTTGTTTCGTCAAATGTCACCGTGCATGATGTGAAGAGAAGGCGTGACTCTGTAAAAAGTACTTGAAAGGGACATTTAAGTATTTTTTTAAAGAGTGAGGGTAAAACGCACGAAGTGTGCAAAGTTTTTTTCTGTGCACTCTTGGATACGATACCTTCCGAGTGATATTACCATTCGAAGCTTACATAAAGATTTTATTACAACTCATCCAAACCTAAAGAGTTTATATGAAGTATATAGAAGAAGCATATCTAAAGAGTTAAATATTTCCTTTACATCATTGGGTCATGAGGAGTGTGAACTGTGTGAGAGTTTTAAGCTTCACAATCCCAAATATATCGAACAGTCATCGTCGGAGGACTGCAGTGACTGTAACTTCTGGAAGCAGCACATTAAAAAATCGAAGGAAGCACGAGAAAAATACAGGGCTGATGCAGAGTATGATTTTCCAACAAGCACTGTATGTGTTTCTGCTGACTTGAAAAAGGCGATTATGTTGCCTAGAATTGATATGTTCAAAAAAGTTGTGTTTTGCCAAAGAATTATAGTTTTTAATGAAACCTTTGTAGTCGTTGGAAAGAAACAGAAAATCAAACCCTTTGCATGCATCTGGCATGAATGTATATCAGGAAGGAAAAAGGAAGAATTGATAAGTACATTTCACGCATTTATTATGCACATGCACATGCACATGCGTGATGTATATCATTTGGCTTGACAACTGTGCGGGCCAAAACAAGAACTGGTTACTGTTCTCATTCTTAATGTATATTATCAATTCTAATGAAGTTGCACCACAGACAATTATCTTTAGATATTTTGAACCAGCGGACAGTTTCCACCATTAGGTGGAACAATCTTTGCAGCGAATGAAAAAGGTGTATTACCTCGCTGATTTTGTGTCTTGCGTTCAATCAGCTAATTCTGGAAAGGTTGAGACCAAAGAAATGAAGTTGGAGGATTTTTTTCTTTGGCCTGATAACTCGTCAATTTACAAAATTAACCACACAGCAAATTTTTAATTTTTAGACTTTCACATAATATTGCATTAAGAACCGTAACCTTTACTGCTAAAAAAATCTAGGCCATATTCTGAGCGTTATTTGTTAGCCAATGAAGCAATCCATGCGGATTTGGTTACTTTCTGCACGATAGAGAAGATAGTTGGTGACAGTTCGTTATTTATTTTCGTTCTCTATGGTTGTAAGTGTGAAGTATTAAAAATAGGAAAACGAATATTTTTGTGATAAAGTGAGAAAGTATCGCATTTTAGTTTTCACATTGAGCTGAAGATCAGATGAAACGCCTAGCATTTGAATTTACTACGCAAAGATCTGCGGCGCATTTTCGGTAGCTTAACTGCTGCCTATTGTGACTCTAGCTAAGAATTTATATTGTGTACCATTGAGTTAGTAGGGAGAGGAGATGACATACCATACAACAATCCAAAATAATGTAGCATCCCTAGACTGACATTAGAATGGTAACGCCTTAAGTAGGTCCGGACTATATCAAATACAAATTAAATCACAAAAGTAAATTTGTATCAATATTTATGTGCATTTTTCTATTTTGAAAATATTTATATACGCAGTTATTAAATCCACAATTAGAGATAATATTTAAAACGTATTTTTCGAATACGAACTGAATAAAAAACATTGATTATTGTATTAGGTACTTCCTTA